GTCCATGGGATCTAATAGATGGATTCTATCAGATCCTCATGCGTGAACGGGACATCCCGTACACATCATTTAGAACCCTCAGTGGTATGATCTGGGAGTGGCTAGTGATGCCACGTGGGCTAAGTAACGCCCTCGCAACGTTTAACAGATGTGCTACGAACCTGTTGCGATCGGTGCGCGATTTCGCACCGAGTTATTTTGACGATGCCTTCGTCCATAGCCTGCTATGGATGGAAAGACGAACGTGGAGGTTCATAGAATACACTTCCGGAAGTTTTTCACTCTAATGCGAGAGCATAAGTTGTTCCAGAACCTCAAGAAGTGTGTATTCGCAGCGAACGAAATACCAGCTCTTGGCTGAATCGTAGGTAAAAACGGTGTACGCCCTGATCCGAAAAAGATCAAGGTGAAAGGCTAATGGCCTGTGCCAGTCGACGTCAAGGGGCTTCGAAAGTTCCTTGGCAGGGCGGCGTACTTGCACAAGTACTCGCGCAACTACACCGAGACGACCGTACATCTCTCTTGTCTGCTAAAGAAAAACGAGAGGTTTTCATGGAGTGATGAGTGTCAGCACTCTTTTGAAGGCCTCAAGAAAAGCTGTATACAATTGTTTGTGTTGGCGATTGCTGACCAGGACAGACCATTACATGTGGTCTGTGACGCCAGCAATTTTGCAACCGGTTGCGCGTTAATCCAGTACGACTCAGACGGCGTTGAGCGCGTCGTCTGTTATCAATTGCGTCAGCTGCAAGCCGATAAACAAAATTATCCGGTGCATGACAAGGAACTTCTTGTCAGGCAATATGCACTGGCCAAGTTTCGCGTATATTCCTTAAGAGTTAGGTCCTTCATCATTTATACCGATCATGGGTCGTTACGCACGGCCGTAAACAGTCCACACCTCTCGCAACGAATGGCAAGGTGGCTGTCTTTCTTCGCGGAGTACAACTTCTCCGTTGAGTATCAAATCTAGGACGACTTTCTGTCGTCGCTGATGCTCTTTCGCGTCGGCCCGATATCGAGCAGACTGCTCAACACCAAAGTAGGGGCGATCCCACTGTCGTGACACTAACAGTGAGTTATCCGTCGTCGAATCTGCTCGACGACGTGCAAAAAGATTACACAGAAGATGAGTGTACTCTGCGATTGATGGATTATGTATCCAATCCATGCAGCCAAGCTTTGAAAAGCTTGTCGTCTCAATACCGCTCTTCAACCGAACGGTATTCGGTTCATGATGGTGCGCTGTACTATACAGCAGCCAACGGTGACAAACCTCGTGTCGTCGTCCCGCTCATAATGATTTGCGAGTGCGCATCATGTATGAGTGTCGCGATGTCTCAACAAGTGGACATCGCGGTAGAGAAAAAACTTACCTCATCGGTAGTCGTGACTTCTACTGGCCCCGCCAGTATGAGTTTGTGCACAAATAAATTCGTGCTTGCGAAGTTTGTCAAAAAGGTGAAGCCTAGTCCATCATCCCGCGCACCCTTGCAGCTTCTACCGATTCCGGCAGAGTATTGGCAATCCGTATCGATGGACTTCGTCTTTGGGTTCCCCAAAGACGCTCACAAGAATACTGGTATTCTTGTGTTTTTTGATCGGTTCAGCAAGATGGTACATCTTGTCGCTGTAACGAAGTCAATCATAGCCCAGGAATGCGCTCGTGTCTTCATTGACACTATCTTCCAACTTCACGGGTTAGCCCGTGAGTCGTGTCCGATAGAGACCCCCGCTTCACAGCGGAGGTCTGGAAATCCGTGTCCCGTTCACTTGGAACACGTTTGAAGATGTCGACTTCTGACCATCCAGAAACAGAAGGTCAGACGGAACGCGTCAACCGCGTCCTCGAAGAGATATTTTGAGGGCATTTCCACTCGTTTACGAGTCGGAGTGAGTTCTTGCCGATGGCGGAATTCACCATCAACAACTCGGTGCACGCGTCGACAACGCATACACTGTTCTTCGTGAATGGCCTACGCCATCCACGTTTACCCGCCTTATTAGATCGTGACTCTAGTTTAAGGGGGGGGATCGCTCAAACAAAAACCGATCTAGTTCTTACTCATCATCACCCGTCGACGATGATGTCGGCGTGACGGATGCTAATGTCGTTGCGATAGATATCGATGATATTGATGACGAAGATGCTGGTCTATACAGCATCGCCAATGACTGCCAAAGTGAGGACTACGACGCCCTCACTGGTGAAGACAACGTTATTTCAGCAGTGCACACGGAGCGCACTGCTGTTGACAAGGATGAATCAGCAGAGGAATTTCTGCTGACTCGCGAAGCGGTTGTCCGCTTCGTTCAAGATTCTATCGCAGATGCAATAGATCGAATGAAAGGAATGCATAGAACATGGAAGAGCAAATATTCTTTTGTTTGGTGAGGGAGATTTAGTTTTGCTGTCTACAGTAAATCTACTAAAACAGCAGTGGCAAATGTGGGCAGCAGCAAATTACTGCACCAGTACGTCGGTCCATTTCGTGTATGCGCCGCATGGGCAACGCATACAAGATTGAACTGCCCCGTAAGATGCGTGCACATTCTACGTTTTACGTTGGACGTCTCCGCCCGTACTATCAGTACGAGTCCGTTTTTAGAGGCAAACAGCACCTCCGCGGTTGAGAACCGGGACCATCCTCGAGTGGTCCCGTTTCAACGAGCCAGTCTGGTCGACCAGCGAAGCGACCTTCTCACGCAGTTGAGCGGTGTCTCGACGATCTACATCCCGCTCGTCACGAAGAGAACGAGTCGAACGTTCGCTCTCATGTTGTGCGAACGCAAACCCAGCACGATCGTCCGAACTATCGTGCGTTGAGGAATTGTAAATATCCCTTACAAGATCCTTAAGCTCATAACGCCGAGTTTATTCGTGAGCCGGTTCATCTTGCAACTGTTCCGTTACACGGTTCAGCTCCCGAATATCAAGCTGATCCAACCCTCAAGCCGGATCAAGTGTTCCCGGCGCCACCACATCCTTTGGTTGGCTCAAACAGTGGTCAACGCTTCCGAGTGGAGCATATTTTGAACCACCACGATGTAAATGGCGTCCGGACGAGTTACCTCGTCTGCTGGCGCGGCTATCCCCCGTCCTGGGATACTTGGGAGCCCCGCTCCCAACTGGTGATCGACGTACTGGGTCTGGTTGAGCAGTACGACGCGGCACATCCTGTGCCGCAGAAGGAACGCCGGAGAAAGTCTTCCCGGCACGGTCGTAAAGGGATTTCAGGTTGTCAATCCCTTCGTACACCTCAGTAGAGATACGTACGCGCCACCACGGGCTGGTCAGGAGGTAAGCCTCCTTAGGTGCTCGTGCAGAGTTGTTCACACAACATGGGCACGGGTCTCCCCAAGAGAGGCAGGGTAATGCTTTCTCCCTTGACAGACGATGCAGCTTGTAACGTGCACCTGTCGGGGTTCGCTTTTCAAACTTATCACGAGCTTTGATAAGTTTGTCGTTCCAAGCATCACGGCCTACATCCTCGAGGTTATGGATGTAGGCGTTCCACGCTTGAAGCAGTGAGGGACCATCACGCTTGTGATTCCCACTGTACCATCGATGTCTAAAGAAAGCATCGATGAAGAATTCATTCTCAGCGCGATAGTTTTTCGCGCTGGAGTCAAGGTGATGGATCCTTGACGAATCGAACAATCGTGTTCGATAACGATCACTCGTCGTCGCCGACAAGTGACCCGGGACGGATTTGGGAGGCATCCATGCCTTCTTCTCGGGAGCGAGACGCAAGACATTGCGATCCTGCTCTTCCTGCGACGTGCCGACAGAAGGACTGGCACCTCGTTGCGATGTGGTGTCCATAGGAGAATCGACACCACTGTGAGAGCCCGAGTCTCGCGACCTCGAGCGCCTTCGCGTCGGCGATGGTTCATCTGATTCGTCAGATGAACCAAAGATGCTTCGACGCATAGCATCATCCATGCCACGCTTGGCTGGTGGCTTGGTTTCGATCGCCGTCGATACGGATCCGTCTTCCGAATCAGGAGAGTATGAGACAAAGATCTCATACTCTATGAAGACATTAGTGTCCTCATGACGAGCGCCTGCATCACCAGGTGACACAGGCTGAGTCGCTTCAGCAACCGATGAGACATCAGTTGCTGTGGTTTCTGCTTCGGCGTCCGCACAGAGACGTGCGGACGGGCTCTCGGCGGCCTTGCTCGCGCGCCGCATGGGCTTGTTAACCATGCGATGAACTGTTGGAAAGTGGACTCGGACCAACTAGTGCAAACCCTGTCCTAAATGATTTGAGACGAGTATCCATTCAGTCAGTTAGTCATTAGAGTGACTGACGGTTAAGGGGTAGTGGTGTAACGGGGTGAATCGTCACATAACAATTTATAAGAAACTGTTAATTGAGTATAACTATAAGAGTCAGATTCTCAGAATATTGTCATAAGGACAAATATTCTGCAGCACTTACGAGTAGTTCCTACTTAATTGATATAGGTCATTATATCAACCAACGAAGACGCGCCACGACAGACGCACGCAATGAGTGGTGAGCAGATAGTTGACATGCACATTTGTATTCAGACACAGTTAGATGAGGATATATAGTGATTTATTGCAGACATTAACTATGATAAATACAGTTCTACTGTTTACTTTAACCAAGTACTCCCTTCTTCTTACCGTCTTCCTCTGCACGTACGAGTGTACGTGAAGTTACGAGGCACCGCCTTATTCTGTCATCAGAATAATTAGCTTGTACTGTCACCAGTACAATCTTCAGTCCCCGTTTCACCGCCTCTATATTCCCCCAGCGCTCTTGGGGCGAAAGACGACCCTGCTTCCGCTTCCCACGCTCTCACTGTACCATCACTGCTGCCACTAAATAATATCTTGCCGGACGCATTAAAACCGACTGAGTTCACTTCCGTCGCATGAGCGTGGACGTAGTGTGTAGTTTGAGTGATCAACGTGGCTATCGGACCGCTTTGACTCAAGCCTCCACTTTCATCGAGCAACTGAGTCATTCTCTCGGATCTCTATTGTGTATCCTAGCTTCTGATGCAGACGAAGGCGCTTCTCCCCCTCTCTGTCCACTCGTGGTTTGGATCCATTCACGAAGCAGAGCGCTCTTCTCCTGCACCTGCTTCTCAAATTTCGCGTACTGCTTCCTGAGTCGCTCGGTCTTCATCTCAATCTTTTCCAACAGACTCCTCTGTCTTAAGATCTCTTCTCGACGAACCGACAGCGCCGCGTCCAGCTCCTGGAGCGCCATGTCCTTCTCTAAACTCAACAGCGACTCGTCGTTCAACTTCCTCTTTTTCAGCTGCAGTCGCTTCTCCTACTGGTCACGCTCCTGCAGCAGCGTCTTGCTCTCACTCACGATCAACAGCTGGCGACCCGCGTAGCTTGCCAGCTGCGCATTCTTGTCCGTTACTTCGCGCTCCAGTCGCTGGATAGTTGCCAGGTATCTCTGCTCGGCTGTGTTTGCTTGTTCCTGCGCCGAGGCGAGAGGCATCGACGCACTTAGAGAAGAGGAAGTCTAAGTCCGGAACAGCAGCTGATCGTGGGACGTGATGAGGGCGCTGAAGGTTGCAACTTCGCGGTGATTGCGAGCCTCTACAAGCCGCAGCGCTTCATCTGAGAACCAGGAGGACATGATGATAATTGTACCGGAGTCAACTCGATGCCAGGTAACATTGTACGCCTATATTTTATCCTCTGCTTAGTCAGTTATACGAGTTAACAGGTGCTATTAAAATTTTTGGTGCATCTATAGGTCGACAAGACCCTGTGTGTCTTAACGATCGCGATTCTGTAGACCATTGGGGGCCTCACAAACAAATAACTGCTTTGGCCACTGCGACAAGTACAATCGTACACGTTGGCATAAAAACTCTAAGCATAGTGTAAAAGTATGGTTGTAAATATAAGCGGCACATACCGTTCGGAACCACGACAACACCGGCAATTGGCGAAGAGAATGACAACAAGAAGCCACGACTGGCTGGTATCGATTCGCCCTGTACAACGCGCACTAGCCGAGGGTAACAGACTCGTTTGCCTCACGATATCGGGCACGTTACCTGTAGGAATATTTCCTTTCCAGGGATGGTAGTGATCGGATTTTGAAGGCATGGGATTACGACCAGCGCCAGATTGTGAGGTTTTTGGGCAGCTGCAGATAGACAGTGCAAGTAGTCAGCGAGCAATTTAGTTAGCAGCCAATCTTTTAGATTGACTGATCTAGGGGAATAGTCAATCTATAGGCTGGCTAATTACTAATTTAAGTTTGATCTGTTGCCTTACAACAGATCAAACTGAAAATTTTAATTTTTCTTCTCCATGGAAAATTATTGGAGGTTGGTCAAGTAACTCTGAATATTCTTTTTTTAGGTGGTTAAAGATCAACAGCTCAGATGATTTCTCATGAAATAACAATTAATTTTTCAACTCTTTTCGTTATAGTAAGTGCTAAATCGTAAAATTTAAATTTAATTGTTGAAGCACAAAAAACTGTTTGGTTTTGCTTTCCTCTTTTTCCAATTTTTATAATTTTTTAAATTGCGCGCTCTCCAACCGAACGGTATTCGGTTCGTGATGGACTGCTGTACTGTGCAGCATTCAACGGCGACACACCTCGTGTTGTCCTTCCCTCTCACAATGATTTGCGATTGCACATCATGTATGTGTCACGATGCCCCAACACGTGGGCATCGCGGTAGAGAAAAAACTTACCGCACGGTAAGTCGTGAATTCTACTAGCCTCGCCAGTGCGAGTATGCGCGCAAAAACATTCGTGCTTGCGGATTTTGTCAACGAATGAAGCCTAGTCCTTCATCCCGCGCACCCTTGCAGCTTCTACCGATTCCGGCAGAGTATTGGCAATCCGTATCGATGGACTTCGTCTTCGGGTTTCCCAAAGACGCTCACAAGAATACTGGTATTCTTGTGTTTTTTGATCGGTTCAGCAAGATGGTACATCTTGTCGCTGTAACGAAGTCAATCATAGCCCAGGAATGCGCTCGTGTCTTCATTGACACTATCTTCCAACTTCACGGGTTAGCCCGTGAGTCGTGTCCGATAGAGACCCCCGCTTCACAGCGGAGGTCTGGAAATCCGTGTCCCGTTCACTTGGAACACGTTTGAAGATGTCGACTTCTGACCATCCAGAAACAGAAGGTCAGACGGAACGCGTCTACCGCGTCCTCGAAGAGATACTTTGAGGGCATTTCCACTCGTTTACGAGTTAGTGTGAGTTCTTGCTGATGGCGGAATTCGCCATCAACAATTCGGTGCATGCTTCTACAACGCATGCACCAGTCTTCGTGAATGGCCTACGCCATCCACGTTTACCTGCCTTCTTAGAGTGTGACTCTAGTTTAAGGGAGGGGGTGGAATCGCTCGAACAAAAACCGGTCTGGTTCTTGCTCATCAACCGTCGACGATGATGTCGGCGTGACGGATACTGACGTCGATGCGATCGACATCGATGATGATGATGACGACGCTGGTCGCCAACGACTGCCACAGTGAGGACGACGACGCCCTCACTGGTGAAAGCAACGTTCTCTCAGCAGTGCACACGAAGCGCACTGCTGTTGACAAGGATAAATCAGCAGAGGAATTTCTGCTGACTCGCGAAGCGGTTCTCCGCTTCGTTCAAGAATCTTTTGCAGTTGCACTAGTCAGACATAAAAGAAACGCAGACAAACAGGGAAGAGCAAATGCTCTTTCATTTGATGAAGGAGATTTAGTTCTACTGTCTGCAGTAAATCTACCAAAACACGCAGTGACAAACGTGGGCGGCAGTAAATTACTGCCCAAGTATATCGGTCCATTTCGTGTGTTGCGCCGAATGGGCAACGCATACACGATTGAACTGCCCTGTAAGATACGTACGCATCCTACGTTTTACGTTGGTCGCCTCCGCCCGTACTATCAGTACGAGACCGTTTCGAGATGCGAAGAACCCCTCTGCGGTCGAGAGCCGAGATCACCCTCGAGTGGTCCCGTTTCAACGAGCCAGTTTGGTCGACTAGCGAAACGACCTGCTCACGCAGTTGAGTAATGTCTCAACGAGCTGCAGCCAGCTCATCACGAAGAGAACGAGTCGAACGTTCGTTCTCGAGTAGCGCGAACGCAAAGCGGCACGATCATCCGAACGATCGTGCATTAGGGAATTGTAAACATCCCTTACAAGATCCTCAAGATCATAACGCCGAGTACTTTCGTGATCCAGGTCATCTTGCAACTCTTCCGTTACACGGTTCAGCTCCTGAATATCAAGTTGATCCAACCCTCAAGCCGGAATAAGTGTTCCCGCCGCCAACACATCATTTGGTGGACTCAAGCGGTGGTCAACGCTTTCCAGTGGAGCGTATTTTGAACCACCACGATGTGAATGGCGTCCGGACGAGCTACTTCGTCTGCTGGCGTGGCTATCCACCGGCTTAGGACAGCAGTGGAGCGTATTTTGAACCACCACGATGTGAATGGCGTCCGGACGAGCTACTTCGTCTGCTGGCGTGGCTATCCACCGGCTTAGGACAGCTAGGAGCCTCGTGCCCAGCTGATTGTTGATGTCCTTGGTCTCGTCGAGCAGTAAGACGAGACCCATCCGCTGCGTTCGAAGAAGGGCCGTCGGAGAGTGACCTCCCCAAACGCGAGTACAAGGATTGCAAGGTGTTTATCCCTTCGGCCACCTCGGAAGAGATGCGCGACCTCCAGTAGGGATCATTGGAGAGGAAGGCCTCCATAGGGGCACGGTTCGATTTGTCCAGGCAACCTAGACACAAATCATCCCACGAGAGACAGCGTAATCCTGCCTCTCTTGAAAGTCGGTGCAACTTGTATCGCACCCCCGCTTGGGTTGCGTTTCTCAAACCTGATGCAAGCTGCATCAAGTTTGGAGAGCCAGGCCTCATGGACAATGCACTCGATGTTGTGGATGAGGGCATTCCATCCCTGCGCCAAGGCTTTGCCGTCTCGAACACGGCTATTACTATACCACCGATGTTTAAAAAATGTATCGGTGAAGAATTCTTCCTCAGCACAGATAGTTTCCGTGCTGGGATCAGGTGGGCAAAACTTCCAGCAATCGAACAACTAGATTCGATCCCTTTCGAAATTCATGCTGGCCAACCGGTCTAACTCTCTGTATGGCGGCATCCAAGGAGACTCCACTTGGGGAGCGTGGCGCAGGACATTTCGGTCCCTGGCCTCTGGATTGGTGCCAGCATGAGCACTGACACCAGTGACACCTCGATCCCTCGAATTACTACGCTCGTGGTGACGTATAGGTGCATCACCACCATTTCCACGCGTCCTATCGTTGAATGGGCTCGCGCGAGGCGAGGATTCATTGGAACAATCGCTCGATCCGAATATCTTGGACATGATACCGCCGTGTTGACTAGATCCAGTCAACCTGGCTCTTACAGCGTCCGCCCCGGTGATCCAGAAGCGTGAGTTGTCGCCTTCGAGTCGGATACATCACCTGACTCGCCAGAATAAATGAGCTCTATCAAAGGATCATCTAGATTACGATTCGCGGTACCCGCTGCAGACTCAGCGGGTGTAGCCTGTCGCACGTGGTGACTCACCACGTGGACTGTTCATAGCAGCAGGCGACGAATCACCTGCTGCTGAGGTGTGAGAGGTACCCTCTCCGGCTGCACACATGCGTGCAGCTGCCTTTCTTGCTACTGCAGTAGCAACTCGCGTGGTTTTCGAAACCATGCGTTGGATTGGTAAATGAATGGAATCTAACCGAAAAGTGCTCCCTTTGCCAGAGTGATCCAATGATGGTCACCCTGTCCCAATGAATTCCATTCAATCAACGGGTGATTGATGGTCAAGGGTTGGGTGATGTAACGGGGTAGCCATACCATGAAATTGACACCAAATGGTGTCAATAGGAACATTGTCTAGTATGACAATATCCCACCAATATTATCCGGGATGGATAATATTGAAGGAATTTATCCCCTTTCGGATAATATTCGTGTGCTGCTCCAAGATTGGTTGATATAAGACATATCAACCATAGATTGCCACCAATCGCTGCTAGACGCGCGCAATGAGTGGTGAGCAGGTTGTCGTCATACGACGACGTAGTTTAAAATAGTTAGATAAAGGTCAAAGTTAAATTGATAGCTTAACTATATCAAGTACAGTTCTCTTTTTACCTTTACTCAAACTAGCTAATTGAGTAGATTAGCTTCCTCTGCACGTACTAGTGTACGGGAAGTTTCGTGGCGCCCAGACAAAGGGTGCCCCGTTACAGCTCCGGTCTAAGTCGCGAAAGTCGCATCCGTCTCAATAAAATCAAGTTGTATTTAATTCATTGCCCCTATAATTGGACCGCGGGCACGAAACGACCAGTGAGCGTGAATGCATTTCCCACTTAAAAAAATAGGCTGACGCAGGATGGCTTATTTTATTCCCTGTGATTTGTCGAAAAATGATATTTGCCAGCATGAAGTCTTACAAAGATAGGGAATTGTTACTTCCACCACACTTTTCTATTTCCACCACACCTTTTCTATGTCCACTATTCTTTTTTACTACTCATCATTCGCCATAACTTTGTTTGAATAACATCAGGCGTACCACGCTACACATCACTACAGTTACCACAGCATCACTCCCAACCCC